AGTTCCAGTCAAATATCACAGAAGTCAAATAGCTCATCAATGTTACAACATTTTCTAGTGCACCTTTTTGATTCGGTTATTATTTTTACTTCTTTTTTCTCCAATCCAGCATGATGATGTGAGAGCGTTCTGCCTTTCACTTGGTATTATTGCTTGCATATATTTTTACTGGGCAATAAACCTTCTATCTAGCTGTGTTTGTGTGATTAGTAAGATATGACCATTGCATACGAATTGTGAAGTCGCAAAGAATGTAAATGATCGAACATTCATTGTAAATCTGAATACCCGATTTAAAAAGCTTCCAAAACATCCGATTTGCTAATGCAATGTTCAGCTTACGCAGTACCCATCCATCACTAACTGAGACTATCTCGAATAAAACAACAACAAAAACAACAACGAACCCGTGAATGGTGGATTTAGGATGATCAATAATGATGTTCGGTGGAGGGGGTTTATTCGCCTGTTCAGCTTCCATTATCTGTCGTTGACTATCCTATAATCGAATAGATCATTGATTAGACAGAGATGATCAGATGACGTGCTCAATTCGCTCGATGCAAGCTTGCAGATGATAGGCTTTCAGTCACGTTTCCGGCGATAATAAGAAGATAACGAGAAGAAAGCAATGATATTAACCTTGAGAACATAGAGTGCTTTATTAACATCACAATACTGTTTACAGAGATCACTATGATGATATGCTCGGCCATCGACAACTACCGAAAATGATTCACTCAAATATTTATGCACCTGAAATCATAGAAATATCTGATGCAGTTGATTGATCGTGTATTGAACAGTGCACATTACACATTGTAAATTCAGCGTTAAACCCATGTTTCGGTGCAACCTATTTTATCCCGAATCATTCGGATAAGTTGAACAATCTAAAAGTTGAGTGAGATTCACTAGGGCTTAAGAGCTTAGTCCCAATACAAAGCGAACTGCCACCATCAGTCTTATCGATATCGTTCAACTTATCTCCGCATTGACCCACCTCTAGTGCACGATCGAACAGTTCAGGTCTCAGCATGTCTCCACCTTCTGCAGCTCGTATCAACGCAACGAAGCGCTGTGTATATGTCCACTTTGTTCCCCTGAACTGCAAGCTAATCTCTTCTTCGTATCTAGATGGTGAATTTGATGATGTGAATCCATCCTGAAAACAACCAACAATCGATGAGCAATCATCATATTATATTCGGTTGGTAACAGCCATAATTAATTGAGAGGCACTTATTATTTATCCTCTTTGATGCCCTCATCATAGAGGCTTAATGGATTTAGGATAGATTTAATGATTTCTGAACTGAAAGAATACGTGAAAGCAATCGTAACATTACAAATTAAGCAACCAATTTTTCATGCCCGTTTCCACAGTGACCGATAACTCTTGAGTGATTGCTTCATCACTGAAGGGATTCTCACGAAGTACTTGTGCTTATCACAGTGAAAACTGTGATTATATTCTCAGATGCAAGCAATTTATCAAAATGTTCAAGTCAATAGATCAGTTAGTGAGTCACCTGTAATCGTTGTGCAAATCGAATGTAAATGACACCATACGA